TTGCTAGTTTTTAAAATGGGAGTAAATGAGGAATGTTTATTTAAATAATGACATTTGGTAGACACTCAATTTGACCACCAACTACCTCTAAGTTTAACCTGGATCCAAGACTGCAAACGGGTTTGGGACTATACAGGTAGTCCTGAGGCTCTGCCTGCAGTTCACTTTACAAAAATGGGTTCATGTGAAAGTAGAGTCCTATTTTTTTAATTGGCTTTTGGCTTATTCTGAACCAAAGGTCCAAATTCTGAAAACTGCAATCCAAAGGTAATATCAAAAGTGTACAGATGGGGCTTCCCTGGTGGCGCAGTGGTTGAGAGTCCACCTGCCGATGCAGGGCACGAAGGTTCGTGCCCCGGTCCGGGAAGATCCCACATGCCGCGGAGCAGCTGGGCCCGTTAGCCATGGCCGCTGAGCCTGCGCGTCCAGAGCCTGTGCTCCGCAACGGGAGAGGCCACAACAGTGAGAGGCCCACGTACCGCAAAAAAAAAAAAAAAAAAAAAGTGTACAGATGGATTATTTCTGAATAATAAAGGATAACCTAAAACTACATAAAATAAAATAGAGAAAGCCAGGAAGAGGGGGTTGTTAAGATGTATATATGAATTACATAAACTTGATGGAATTAATTTGTATATATCTGGCTAAGAATGACTTTTATCAGGAATGATTGTTGTGACGTATACACAATGACTGACTGCAACAATAATATATAAATACAAATATTAAAAGCACTATATTTTTTTCTTTACCTTAATGAGAATTTTTAATAGATCAAGAAAGCAACATGTTCTGCATAAAATATAAAGGATTACTGTATATCCTTCCAGACTAGACAGCTTAATTCTATTATAGACATCTGTATTCCAAAACTGTTAAATTCACTAACAGTAGTAAATTCACTAAAGAAATTAGTTGCTTTATAAAATATGAAAAATCTGAAGAATGTTTCATGAGGGTAATAATGGCCTATATTGTACTTTGGTACAGAAGAAGGATGATACACTCTTT